ATTCCAATTTACACTCAGTAGTGCACAAAGATGCATGTTTTCCCACATCCTTGCCCAGCCTAGCCAATACTGATCTTCAGATATGTTTAAGTAAGTGAAGAGTGTCTCCCCTACACCATTTATTTACTAGGAGGGCTGTTGGGAACACCTTCCCACAGCCTGGTCAGTTGTTGGAATTAAACCTTTTGTGCATTGCTTTTTGCCTGCTTTCTTCCTTATGTTGAAATAACTTTCTAGGCCCAGGATGCAGCTGCTCTTGCTCAGGGTGCCAGGTCAGCAAACTGAAACTTAATACCTTTGTGTCCTTAAAAATGCTCTGCTTGACCAGGAAACACAGTCTATCCAGTCAGCCGACCCCCAATGGCCAAGCCTCCTCTGGGCTATCTCCTCATTTCCTTCTTCCTTCTCACCCCAAACAGGATGACTCTGTGGCCCCAGCAGTCAGATATTCTCTATTTTTCTCTTCCTTGTTCTTTATTCTTTATCCTATACAAGCTTCTTGCCTTCCACCTCATTTTGCAGTTCTCTGAATGGAGACTGTTCCCTTCATGAAAGGTTAAATAAAGTTTGTTTATATCACCTAAATTGTCTTCTTTAATCATTTTTAACACTTATTACAAGATCTTTCTTTGTAGGGGCTTTTAACACTTTGCCTGTAATAAACATTGCAAACATTTCCCCCCAGTTAGTACTTTAGCTTTCTTATGTTCCATAAATATTTTGAATTTTTATGTAGGCAAATCTACGTATTGATATTTTCCTCTTACATTCTGGCTTTTGCATCATGCTTAGAAAGGCCTCCCCCATCCAAGATTAGTTTCTCCTAGCACTTTTATGGTTTCATTTAAAAAAAACCAAAACTTACATTTTTTTATCTAGTTGGGATTTATGCTGATATATGAAGTGAGGCTGGAATCCAGACATACGTTTTTCCAGACGACTAAGCAGTAGTCCCAACAGGTATTGAATAATTCATCTCTACCACACTGATGGTCTAAATGCTGCTTTAGGTGATTTCTTGAGTAGAAATTTACCAAGGTAATCTTTTAGCCTTTGCTTAGTAATTTTTCTCCTAGTCAGTTAAGTAGCACGAGTAACTCTATTGTTGTTATTACTCCTAATATACTTCCGTTACTCAGCTAAAAACAAGATCACATACTTGAGTATTTCACTGAACCCTTTTACAAAGAAGGTATTTCCCCTTGCCCTGCCCGACTTATTCCCTACTCATTTTTCACACTAGTTTGCATGTCCCTAACATACGCTCTCATGGCTTTGCGTTTCTGTGAAGCACCTATATCATTTCATTTTTGAAAGCTACAGTTTTCTGTTAAACATCCCCCTTTTTTTGAGTGAACAATTCAAAAATGAACACACAGCTTAAACTGGCATTATGCTTTTATGCAATCCTAACACACATGCATTAGTACCAAGGTTTCATTAAAGGTGGCCTGGTATCAGGTCTTCCATCTCAAACCCACAGGAGGAAAATAAACACAACCCCCGCCCAAGCACAAAACAGCAACATTTGCCCTTGAGATTACAGTGTATCAACATAACACCATGGGACATGGCATTTTAGAATAAAATGTTTTGTGGCAATTTTAGCCAGATTATAGTAACATTCATATGATCACCATGAGCTCCACAAATTGTTTTGGAAACAGTCTGTGGGCAATATGAGTCTAGGGGTAGTCATTTTTTACATCTTCCTTCCTAAAATTGTTAGTGGTGACCAAGGTGTGAAACAGGGATAAAAAGTTGAGTAGTGGGCTAAGGGCAGCCAATGGCATGAGCAGTCTTTCCAATACCTGAAACCTTTAACCACCAATTTACAAAGTCCATTAGACTTCACCTTAGGGTGAACAGGCAGGGAATGAAACTGACAGCTCAGAACTGCTGCCCTTATGGTCTTTTTCTAGAGTTCAAAGGTAATTAAACAAGAGAACTCTCCAATACTCAAAAAAGGAATGAAACTGAAGCATTTGAATTCTCTTCACTACAAAGCAGCAGAGTGCTCTGTATTCAATGGAAACTCAAAAGTTTTTAACTGAAATAAGTATTGGTAATATGGGTGACCCATGGTTGAATATTTCAACATAGCCATTTCTCAATTTCCTTTTCTGGAATTGACCACTGCTTTTTTTTTTTTTAATTAAATTTTTAAATCATTTATGGTGTCTCAGCAATACAAATCCAACTATAGGCCAGAATATTGACATGGAGCTAGAATCTCTCAAATTTTGGTAACCATAAAAATGATCAGGAGCTTGTTAAAAATGAATATTTGTGGCTTTCCACATCAGAAATTTTGATTTAGTAGGTCTGGTTAAGGTATTTTAAATAATCACTTCAGTGAAGCTTTGTGGATGCTACCAGATCCCACATTGAGAATTGCTTTAATGGTGCAAATAGGTCTTGTCAGTTCCCTCTATGTGTTTTTGCTTTATAACCTACCCTATGACACAGCAATTTGATTTCTAGTTGTATACCCAAGAGGAGTGAGTACACATACCCACAAAAAGCACAGGTACTAGAATACTGCAGCTGTATATGTAATAGCCCCGAAGTGGAAAGAATTCAAATGCTATCAACAGGTGAATGGATACATAAATTATGGCATATTCATACAATGGAAAAGTCTATAGCAATAAAAAATGAACCACTGATACATGCAAACACCTGGCTGAATCACACAGATAGTACATTGATGAAAGAAGCCAAGCATAAAACAATACATACTGTATGATCCCATTTACATGAGGTTGAGAACAAGCAAAACGAATTGATCTTTAGAAGAGTGGTTCATTTTGGGGGAGGTACAGACTGGGAAAGGGTGCTAGGGAATCAGAAAGTTCTTGTACCTTGATCTGAGTGCATACATATGTGAAAAATCATCAACTACTTATGATTAGTGCACTTTATGTATTCCACGGCAGGTATGTTATCCCTTAAAAAAAAAAAAAGGCAGCTGGACAAATAGGTCTAAAATGGTTTACTCAATAGATTTGATGACACAGAAAAAACATCACCACACATAATCATTTACAATTAAATCAAAATTTATTCTGAGATTCTGTAACATTAATATAAACAAGGTATAGCAAAAACCTCAACCACAACTCATAGTAAAAAAATCTGAAGTGTTATCGTAATATTATGGACCTGTCACTGGATATAACTACCGTATTTCCCCATGTATAAGATGCACTTTAATTTGGGGCCCAAAATTTGAAAACAAATGTATTACATAAAGTTATGAACTCAAGTTTTATTCATCATAAAATCCATACAACCCCTCATCACTGTAAAAAAAACTATAACCACTGTATAAGACGCACCCAGTTTTTAGACCCTAAATTTTTTCAAAAAAGGGTGCGTCTTATACATGGGGGAAATGGTATATCTTGACAGCAAAAACAGTACAGAGGAAGAAAAACAATATGAAATTTCAAAATATTATTTTTAAAGTAGATAATTCCTTATGCTTTTGAGCCCAGTCTAAAATTTAAATGAAGTTTGTTAAAATTACTGCCATAGATTATACATCATTTCTGTAAATAAAATAATTTTGAGATTTGCCGAAGTAAGGACCAAGTTCCTTTTAAAAAACAAGTTACTGAATATTTTTTTCTGAAAATATTTTCTGCAGTGCGCACCTTATTGAAGGGGAGCCTCTATTGCAATTGTGGAGTATGATGCCTGGAGGATCAAATTGCTGACAACACTACAATTGCCTTATATCTCTAATGTCAAACTTCTAAAATCTGACTACTAAAATTGTAACAAAACTACTATTAAATTTCAGATTGGTGTGACAGTGACACTCTCCAAAGTGTGTATTTGGTGTACTTCTAATTGCCTCATTTATCATTAACCTGGTTTCCTATGTACTTATCTTATTCTATTTCCCTAATTTCCCAACATCTTTCTCACTCTTTTGTACATTTTCCATATACTTAACTTTGTTCCAAGTTTTTGAGAGACAAACTTCCTGAAACCCCCATCTTACTTACTTGATACAGGAATCATTCTGGGACTTTCCTTCATTGCATTCCTTTGTGAGATCTTAGGTTTTCAGGATCCCATGACTTCTTACTTAGATTATTACTCCTTTGTTTTGGTGAAGCACATCCTCCAGTAGCCTCCTAAGAAAGGATACATGGTAAGGAAAATTTCGAGACCATGTAAGTCTAAACTCTATTTTAGCCCCATACTTGATTGAATTGTCTGGATACAGTATTCTAGATTAGAACTTTTCCTCTTAAATTTGAAGGCCTTGCTTTCATTCTTCTAATATCCAGTGTTGCTACCAAGAAATCAAAATGCTATCCTGAAAACATCCTTTTATGTAAACCTTGTTTTTCCCCTTTGGAAGCCTTTAGGATCTTTTCTAACCCTGGTATCCTGAAATATCATATGCTCTTGTGGGTTTTTTAATTCATTGTGCCAGGCACTAAGGGGATCCTTTTAATTTAGGAGACTCATGTCTTACATTTTTTGGCAATGTTCTTTGTTTCCTCTTCACCTCCTTTCTCTGTTCTCTCATTTTGGGGCTCTTATTAATCAGATGTTGCATCCTATTCTAATTTTTTTGTTCCAGTTTCTAAAATTTCTTCAGCTTATCTTCCAACGCATCTACTGAATGTTTAACTTTGGCTCTCCTATTTTTCCAATACTCTTTATTTTGATTGTTCATTCTATAGCATGCTGTTATTTCATGGATGCAATATATTCTATGTTTCTGAGATTATAGCTTCTTTGGGAATTTTACATTCCCTGCATTATTTGTAGTTTTTTTTTTTTCAGGTTCTTTTGTTTTAGTATTCATCTTTCATTGCTGAAGGTATCCTCAAATGCCGAGTGATTCTTGGCTATCAGTTTATTGTGAGTTCAAGTGACTGAAAGCTGTGTATGAATGAGCAGGCTTGTCGGTCCTAGGTTTTATTTTAACAAATAATCGAGTGGCAAGCTGTTTTTTTAATTGTTAATGTTTCTGGATGAGGTGGGCAGGGCTGGGTATAAGCCTGGCTGCCAAATTATGTAGCTGGGTGGACAAACGGACTGATGGCTCATGATGTTCAGAACACTGACATTCTCTCAGCCCTTCTGTTTTCAATATAGAACCTCTCTACCACCACCATTCGCCTTCAAGTCCCAGTTCTAAGTCTAACTGGGACTTTGGTTCAATTTCTCCAGAGAAGAAGTCTCCAGTCTTTGGCTAGAATGAGGGATAGTCACCTGGCTACAAAAGGAAGGCAAAAATAAACTTTTAAATAATCCCCTTGTTTCCAACTTTGCTGTTCACCACCACCTTCCAGGGTGGTTGAAATCCTTGCGTCTTTTGGGGGTTCTGGAAGGAAAAGACGTGTTCTAAGTTTGTGGATCCTTTCCTGCAATGAAGAATGGCTTCCAGAACTGTGCTACCTATCAAGTATCTAAATTAAAAAAAAAAAGTAATACACTTACTCTTTCGCTTCACGGCAGAGTAATGCTTAAAACACACGCAAACAAAAAAACCCAACAAACCCAATCTACCTATTTCTGAGATGGCATTAAAAAAATTATAAAAATGTCTGGAAATGTTTTAATGGTTATGTTATTTTAGCCTAATACAATGTCTTTTATAAAAACTCGTTATCTTCAATTGGGCTTCCTTCTTCACCTAACTTTGGTCAAGTGTGTGTTAGTCTGCGCCCCGCCCCCGACCAAGTATTTGAAGGTAAGAAACCACCACATACTGGGAAGAATCAGACTGTTTCCTTGCAACAACAACATGACTACAACCGGCTTCATCAATGCTCCTAACACATTTATAGGGCTGCCAGATAAAACACAGTATGCCAGTTAAATCTGAATTTCAGATAATGAAGTCATTTATCTAGTGTTAAGTATGTCCCATATTCCACAGTTCATCTGAAATTTATTTGGGTGCCCTGTATTTTTATTTGCTAAATCTGGCAACCCAACACACTTAAAACAATGTGTCATGAGGAGAAAATGACCAACTGGGTTTAAGGAAGGAAAGTGGGATCTGGACCAAAGCATTCAAGCCATTGGCAAATTCTACATTACTGCCAGGTAGATGGCCAGGGGCCAACACCATATAACCCACTTAGTGGTTAAGTCCCTACAAAATGTGTCGGCTGTGGCCAACATTAATGCTTTTAATATAGGAATTTAGTGTCTCTGGGTTATGGTTGGCCTCTTAATTGTGTCACCAGAGCTTTGTCACTTTATCAAGTCATTCTGGTTGCTCAGGGTCTTTTTTGATGGGAGATGGCCATGCCCTTGGAATGTTCCTATTGTTTGGGTACCTCCCAAAGGAAGTTACCCCCACTGGACCATTGCCTAATTAATACATTGTAAAACACTAGTTGATATATTAGTTGTCAGTTTCCACACTTGACCCTGGATGGAAGGGTAGCATTAAGCAAGGGCTTAGCAGTTAATCTAAAGATAATTCCCTCCTCCCCTCCCCCAAATAAGAAGACATTACCAGCTCCTTAATTTACAAACTGCCACACTTATTCTCAGACTCTTCCATCTGGTTTCTGTGGAAATCTTGACATCACAACAGCTCGGTTTCTATGTATACTCGGAGCTCAGTTTTAATCTTGTTTGGCTGATCAGGATACAGAGTCTCCTAAATGACTGTCCTCCTCCAGGAAATCGGGCATCACTTTCCAAATGACCCCAGGAACTTTCATATCATGTGTCAAGAGTCATCTGTCTTCCCAAATAAACTGCCCAAACGCCAGTCAACGTACTGTTTTATGATCCAATCCTAACCTGTCCCTAACATTTTAAACAGACTCTATGCCTTTTACTAGCAACAACTCTGGGACTGTCTGCCTGCCACACTACTTTAAATTATTTATAAATCAGGCATTCCTTTCCGTATCTCATTGAGAAGAGCTGGACATAGCTCTTACAGCTAACAGGAGCTGGGTAGCTAGCAAGTGTCAGGTCACGATGGGATCCTTATCCTTGCCATTTTCTTGGTTTCACTTCCAAAACTTTTACATAACCCCACAGCTGCCACCAATTGAAAGAACATAGAAAACTGTATACAATGAGACTCAAACATACAGCAATTGCCTAAATTTTAAAATTGGCAAAGATATACCAGAGATTTCCCTTTTCAATAACACCAAGTTGACAAAGAAATACCTAGTTTATGTCACCTAGTATAGCTCCCTCAGTTTCGCTCAGTCCACTGGGTATTTCGTATTGATGGACTCGTATGCCAGTAGCTCGCACAAGGTTGTCTCATGCAGTCACAGGTTACCTAGACTTTCTGGAATTTTCTATAAAACCCAGCCATGCGAGCAAAATATTTCGGCCATGATCTGTGTATGCCATTACCTTCTGAATTTAGCACACACAACTTAAATCTGTGTAGAAAATGCCTATTTATTTATTCCCTTGTGGGGTTTAATTGTTGGAATGTGCCCTCTGAACCAACTCACACTACATTTGGGTAGCTGCCCTACTTTCAAATATTTAAGGGCCAGTATAAGGATCAGGCTTAATGTGACCCTAGAGAGCAGAAATGGCATCAATGGCCAAAAACTTTGGGAAAATGTATCTTGGGTCAATATATTTTAAAACTTATGTATACTATCTTATTTAATTTTGCACACCCAGTATCTGGGTTATAGTAGGCATTCCATAATGTTGTCAGATAAAAGACTAAATTTCTAACGCGATATTTAAAACTAATGGGCTGCTTCCAAAGATAGTGAATTCTGTAACACTGCTGTCAAAATTATCATTTATTAGAGATGTCCAGTAAGAAAATAACCCAAGTGACTTTTGAGGTCCCTAAATTACTTTACCAATATAGTGTAATATCAAAACACTGTTTTCATTAGAGAAAAATTGTTTTAGATGGACAGCTGTGATAGGAGCCCCGAAGGATGATCCTCTAAAGCTGGCCTAACATCTGCCCTCATCCTGCCATGTATTTTTTTCCTTTTCTTAGGAAGCTGATGGGTTCTAAAGACCTGACTGTGGTCTCCTGGGCACAAGGTATCTGGGCAGCTTCAAAAAAAGAAGCTGCCTGTCTGTACCAAAAGAGTGCAATACCTTTAAATAACATTAATGTCCATTGATTTAGAAATCCTGTGTCCTCATTCCTTTGATAAATAGTTCTATAAATAGAAAATAAATGTGTCCTCCTTCATCCTAATTATGGTGACTGCATTTAACCAAAGGCCCACATAGGGTGAGTTTGCAAGTGACAAATTCACCCCTAACCCCACATCCATGGCACACAGAAAGAAATGAAGACTTAAGGCTTATAGGTGCCTATCCTTTTGTGCAACCTTAACAAATGGGTTCTAATTACTTCACAAATGGGATCAAATCTGGGTCTTGACTGAATACCTCACAGTATCTTCTTTATGTGTTTGTTTCTTTTCTACAGCTGTCAAGTCACCTCCTATCAGAGACACTGTATAGGTACAGATACTGTATCTATTGAATGTTGAATATGCCTTCAGCAAAGCAGGATCTAGTTCATTTGAGAATAAATGACCGTACTCTGATGAGCATGTACAAAGCTGTTGGTTTATTCAGCTGCAAAGCTGGGGAAAAGCTTCCTTTAGGAGTAAATAGCAGAAATGCGTTTATGAGCAAGGCACTTACACACACACACACACACACACACACACACACACGCGCGCGCGCGCGGAGAGAGAAAAAGGATCATATGGTTACATAAACATGAATATATTTTAATTTTCAGACCTCCCTATCTCTTCCCACCGCCCCCTTAAAAAAAAAAAACCAAACAAACAGGTTGTTGTAACATTTTAAAAACCAGTTTCACAGAATATCTACTACATAGGAAAAGCTTCTGATATATTCAGTTACACTAACAGTATGATATGGTTTCAGTTCAGTAATTGGCCACTAACAAATATTTTTTCTACCTACTACAATTCCCTCCTTTTTCCTTAAGACAACTAAGTGTCAACAGAAATACTCATTAGGTTATAAACATTCTTCTCTCTCCTTAAAGTCGTTATACAATTATAGGATTTGTGAGTCCATTAAAGTTTCAATTTTTGATGCCACATTGTATACAGCACTTAATCATGGAGAATAGGAAACAGCAAAACTGAGACAAGGAAGGAGTATATCTTTAACAATCTATTTCCTGAATCCGTTAGATGCCCAGTCAGCCAGGATCGTTCACAGGGTTCACTCTTTAATGTAGGTGGGTGAAAAGATTTAACGGTCTCATGCATGTTATGTATGTTGATTTCTACGTTCTGACTCATCTTAATAAACACAGCAAGCAAGACTCATTTACAAGGGTACATACTCTTCCTTGTTCAGCTAGATCTAAAGACAATCTATGCAGAAAAACAACGATGCTAAAAAACCCTTAACTTCAGATTGTATTAGGCTGAGACTTTTTGGTAGTAAGGTTGTTCAAGTTAGAAGTGTTCTTGGAAAATTTGCAATGGATGTGGAAAGTGCATCAAGTACTGGTCTAGAAACATACAGATGAAATATTTAATCCACTATCAGTTAGTACTGAAAACATACGCTCTAAATCCTTTCCCTTTGGTTTTTTAGAATGTTTTATTTCCTCTTGACTAAAGTCTGGGTGCCAAGAGGCAGAAAACATATTTCCCATAGAACAGGTGTCTGTTGATCCCCAGGTAAGACCTCATAGGTCAATTTAGCTAGAGGCAGCTTGGTGGGAGCCTATGATATAAATGTTGACGCTGTAACTGCGGGTACTGAACTAGGTCTGGAGTAGTATTGGCTAGGTTTGAAACAGCACCTCCTCCCCCTAACAGGAACCCCTAATGGGTGCCATATGTAGGCTTATTATATAAAGGCCAAGGTAAGTCATATTCCCACCATTTTCTCTGTCTAGTTATTCAATTTAATTCCACTACCTCCTAGAAATGAATGTTAGAGAACAGTATGCTCAGGAAGGTGTAATTGGGAGTAGCTAACTCCCCACTTTCCACAAGCCGTTCTGAAGTTTGGATAACCAAAGGGGTGGGAGCCAATCTTTCCCTTCCCGTTAATAATTAGATATCCAGTTAGAGTCCATTCAGACAGGCTACACTGGGGGGAGAACTGAGTGTGGAGAATAGTCAACTTATCTTTTGCAATATGGTTCCTTTTGACTAATTCTCCATTAAAGTTCTGATTTTATCCACAGGGTCTGTCAAAGGAAATACTCATAGTGCACATTTTCTGTAGGTGAGTAATGGGACTCTTGGGTACATATTCAGTACCCGGTAGACCTTCGGCTTGTCAGGACAGGGTACAGTTTGGTTGAGAAGGCATTTTTTCTCAGCTATGGGCTGTGAAACTTTGTACTGCCTTCTCAATTAGCAACATGGGAGATCTCAGGAGAAATGGTAAAATTTTCATAGTGATGTAGTTAGGAGCTTGTTAACTGCCTTTTGGAAGTCGGTGTAGGAGTAAGTAGTGTTGATGGGTTCAGTGCGGGTCGTTTCCTTAACTGTTTTAGTTAACCAGCCACAGCAACAACCAGAAACACAGGAATTAGGGACCTGTTTTAGGTATTCAGGTATGGGAGTGGCTCTGCTCAAGGTTCGGCTTAACTGCTTGGTGGCAAATTGCAGGGCTCCATTCAGAGTGGCATGATCTCTAGAAAGCCGGCTGGGACTTGTAAGGGGCTTCTGAAAAGGTGGGACACCACAAGAAGCCAGAGGAGGCCATTCAGGGATTGGTTCCAGTCTGGGGACACAATGGGAGCAATGAGAGAGTCTCAGGCCAATCTCTCGAAGTATATGGACCGGTGTGCTTGGATCCAAGAGCTTAGCATGATATAACCAGGAATTAGGATTTAAAGGTTTCCAAGTTGTTGAATATTTTAAAAGGCACTTAACCTGCCAAGCAAGACTCTCCAGAGGGGTTAGGTTGGGCACCACGGGGTCCTCTTCTTCAGAGGAGTCCCACTCTTCCTCAGAACTCTCATTTAGGTAGTTAGCATTTTCTTCTTCCTCACTTTCTGATTCTGATAAGGGGTCAGGAGAGGGATTTCTGGGACCCATTAGAATAGAACAGAAGAAGGGACCAGAGAAAGGCAACAATTTAAGCCAGCAAAATGCTAACACTGGCAACTAGAAACAAAAGATGAAAAATCCTTTCAACAAGATTAATTTGTGTTTCTCCGTCCGTCACACACACAGTACGCCTCTGGCTCGCACTACTGTGCAGTTCTTCGAGATTATGCTGTGTATTCTTCACTTACAAAGAAGACATCTCAGTTCTCAGGACCAGTTCAGTGTGTAAAAGTGTTAGTCACTTACCAGCGGCACAGGTCAGAGTCTCTCCTTTAAATCCTGGCTACCCAAGAAGAGACGAGGTCCTCTTCTAGGAAAGCTGATTTTCTTAGTACGGTCTCAACTGGTCGTGATATTGTGAAGAGATGCTTGTGTTCTCTGTTTTGCTGGCAGGGATGTTATATCTACTTGGTAATGAAAAGAAACTCAGTGGTTGCCTTCGTTGTCTGCTGGCATAGCAAATTTTGTGCAGGGGCTGGTGGGATGAGTTGTCAAGGACATATGGTGTGCATAGGTCCGATGCTCTCCACAGGTGGTACAAATGCCCTTGGAACCTGGTGACTTAGCTGTTGGACTATCTGGAAAGGTAGCCTTAACCTGTGAATGAGAAGACTAGACACATGATATTAAAGCCTGAAAACACTGGGTAACATTACTATCCATCTAACTGTCCACCAGTATCCAAGAACATGAATGCTGAACAAAAAACCTTATTGGCTTTCCCATCTCTATTTCATGGGCTTAGGCAGATTTTCCTATTGGGAATGGCTCCTAAAATCACAAAATTGGGAAGGGGAAGCCTGGGGCCATTTTAATCCTTTGTTGGTACATATCTGGGCTCATTTGTTTTTTAATATGCCCAGAAAATTATTTCTGCAAAAGCAGATCCCTTATGCCCCAAACTCCAAATAGAGAGTTATTAAAGGTATCTTTTTACTTTTAGATGTGCTTGTTGGGATTAGTTTTAGGGGACCTGTCCTGGTTGTGGAGCGGCTAGATGTTAGGACTCTTGCTGGGATCCCAATGGTTGTGGTCATATGACCATACTCTATAGGTTTGATAAGATGGCAGGTAGAAATCTTATAACATTAGGAATTACACTGAATGTAAATAGGTTAAATTCACAATTAACAGGCAGACAGACTGGATTAAAAGACAAAACAAGGTTCAGTAATATGATAAAGAAAGATACTTTAAAGCAAGAAGACACAGAAAGGTAAAAAATAAAAGGATGAAAAAAGATATATCAGGCAACTGTGGACCAAATCAAAACTGAGATAATAAATTTAATATCCAACAAAAAAATATTTTAAGCCAAACAATATAAGGGACAAAGATGGACAATACTACTAGTAAAATAAACCAAATAAAGTAATATACAGTTAAATCCTCTCTTAAAATTTTTTGATAAGTTCTGCAACTTTAAGCCAAATGTTAAAATTGGTAAAGTCAATTTTATCATAGGCTAATTGATATGAACAAGAATTAGGTTCCTATGGCATCTCATCAATGTTATAATGAGATGACATTGAACGAAACAATGTTATTCGAGGACCTGCTGTACTCATCGTATAAATATATGAACCTGGAAACACAGCCTCATAATTTCTTAAGTAACAACTGCTAGAACCGAGGAAGAAATATAAGCAGGGATATAAAAAGCATGAAAAACAGTTAAAATATCAATATGCTTTGGATACAGAACTCTATACCAAACACATATTTGAGAGCGTGTATAGACACCCCCCCCCCATTAGGTTATAAAGTATAACTAGATTCTAAAAGGTCAATTTCATTCAGATTAAATTCTCTGACTAAAATATTAAAGGTTAGTTAAAAGCAATCCTATGTTGGGAAATTAAGTAACCCATGGGTTAAAATTAAAATTATAAAGGATATTAAGAAATACTAAAACTGAATAATATAAACTCCCAAGGAAAATTTGTGGGACGTGGCCAAACCAGTACCTAAAAGAAATTTATAGCTTTGAATACACTGATGAGGAAACAAGGAAGTTTAAATATCCACAAGTTAAGCATTCAATTCAAGATAATGGAAAAGAGCAACAGCAAAATAAGCAGGAAGGATTCAATGAAGGCAGAAATGAAGTGGTATATAAAATGATACCAGAGAAGATTGATTAAACTAACATATTTTCTGAAAACAAGAGTTAAAAAAAATCAAAAGTGGTGAGACTTATCAAGAATGTGATTAAAAAATGACAGAAAATAGAAAACATGACAAATATGCTAAAATATGAAAATCTACATGAAACGGCTAACTTCTAGAAGAATATAAAATACTAAAATTTGTACAGGAATAAGTAACTTCAAATAGAATACACTAGCAAGTATTAAAGAAAATGAAAAGGTAACAACCTCCTATTTATTAACTACACCAGGCCCGTATGGTTTTATAAGCGAGTTCCATTAAATTTTCTAGAAAATTAATTAATATCTATTTTATATAAGCTGTTTCATAAAAAAGAAAAAAAAATAAACTGACTAGCTCCTTTTATGAGAATAATAAAATACTAATTTCAAATCTAGATATGAACCAAATAAGAAAAGTAAAGGCTCATTTCACTTGCAAAAATTCCAAATATTATCCAACAAAACCAATAGTGTATTAAAGAAAAGAAGAATGTCATAATTATGTAGAGCTTATCCCAGGAAAGCAAGAATACCTCAGCTTCAGAAAATTTATAAATATAAGTCACCACAGTAATAAAATAAAGCAAAAAAAAAATTATCAACTGTGGATATTTAATGTTTCTTAGTTCCCAATCAACACCTACTTATGCTTTAAAAAACAAAGCAAAACACTCTTACCAAACTAGCAAGAGAAAGTTACTTCTCAACTTGGTAAAATTATCAACCAAGAACTTTCAGCAGATATTATCCTAAATGAGAAACTTCATATTCCCTTAAAAAATTAAATTATGTAACAAAGAACCAAAAGTTCTAATCAATGTTATAATAAAAGAATAAGTGACAGGTATAAGAACTGAAACAGAAGAGAAAAGCTATTAATTTACAGATGATATGGTCATCTAATTAAAAAAAGACTAACATATAAACTATTAGAGCTAATACAAGAGATCAACAAAGTTCCTGGATCTGAGATTAATCTGTGAATATTTATTAATTTATTTACATAGCACTTACTATTTGCCAGGTACTATTCTAGCAAGTGCACAAATGTGAATTAATTTTAAATTCTCCTAACTACCCTGTAAGTACTTTTATTGTTCCCATTTACACATGGGCTACCTGCCCAAGGACATGCATCTACTGATGGAGTCAGGATTTGAACCCAGGCACTCTTAACTTCTACATCAGTAATACTAACTAGAAATGTATTACATAAATACCTTTCATAAAATGAATCACAAGACCAAAAAATGATGAATTCAATCACATCAAAATTAATCATTTTTGGACTAAAGACATCAAGAACAAAGTTAACTACAAATCAAGAACAAAAAGTAGCAACCTCAATAAAGAAAAGGGCAAAGGACAAAAATACCGAATTTACAGAAGAGAAAATCCACATGCCATTCACCATGATGAGTAAAGAGACATTACATTATTCTATTAATTTTGTAAAAGTCAGAAAGCTGGACAACGTCAAGTGTTAGCGAGGAGACTAAAGGAACCCCTTTAGGAACCAGCACTGCTGGTGGGATTATAGACTGGGATATCCTTTCTGAAGAGCATTGTGGCAGCTCTACATAGTCAAACAATTTGCACATCTCATGATTTAGCAACTGTACTCTTGGTATAGATAGCAAAGAAATTCTCATAAGACCAACATGTACTCTGGTGCTTCATCTTTGATGGTAAGGAATTAGAAGCATTTTAGGTTTCCATCACTGGAGAAGTAGATAGGTAAAATGTGGTGAAAGCACATTAGAAGTATACATTGCAACATGGCTGGACTAAAGGCATAGCACTAAAGGAAAACAGTGAAACCCAAAATATCAACATCCCATTTAAGTCATTCTGTAGGAGTGATTTCCAAAATGAAAGTCAATAAACATGTCTAGTTTTAAGTACACACTGATTTGCAATAATGGTATGGCTTAATGTCAGTAACATTCCTTTAAAAAACATTTCTGTGGCTTCTATACATTCTTTTTCTCTAATTCAGTTCCCACAGTGTCCGGCACATATTAGGGGCTTAGTCAGCTTTTTGGAAAAATTAATGAGGGAAATGATGAAGGACTGCTGAAGTAACTATACAAGCATGCTCCATTTTTACTCCAGGGAGACAAAAATCCCACATTATATTTAAGTGACCTGGTAATATGTTGGACAAAGACAAATTAAACATTTTTGAAAGCAGGATCAACAAAGATGATGTTACTAAAACAATGTAAAGGGAACTGCCTATAACTTCATCTTTAAGAAGAAATATTGAATGCAAATACTTTCATGTTTATAATATTATTACCCAGTTCAATCTGGAAACAAAAAGAAAATTCAAAACATACCATAAGTCTTTATTTTATTGAGAGAAGCTGTTGGCTTTCAATTTTCTGTCCTCTTAATATTATTAATATTTTCATTTCAACCAGATTCCATCTGCAAGATTGAGTATATTTCAGTCATTGTGTTACTCAAAGTATGCTTTAAAAGGTTCACTCTACTTTTTTTAGCAGAAATAAGACAAAAGTCTCCATGAAGGCATAAGTAAATTCCAGTGAACCCATAGCTATTATTCTTTTACATTCCATGTACATAATTTTCCCATGTCAAAACTGAATTAACCACACCTACTCTATATACGCTATGTATAATTTACCTTTAAAGAATACTTTTTCTGTAATTTTGGAACTAAATAGTCTTATCATACAAATTCTTTAGTTTTGTTATTTCTTCAACTAACTAAGTTTACCAAGGACAGGGAAAGATTTGTTCCCAAAGTTGCTATTATTTGTTCTTTTTTCCCATAGCACTAAAAGTAAAAAGTCAAGAAGCAGGTAAGCTTTAAGACACTGGGACTATAAAGTTTAAATTTAATGTAGCATCTTTTTTTTTCTTTTTACCAGCTTGAAGTAGACTGAAAATTGTATATATTAACACATACAGTATGTTTTGATGTGAAATAATTACCACAATCAAACTGTGAAATGATTACACACACTCATTAACATATAATCTCACAGTTACCATTTTTTTGGTGTGGTGAGGACACTTGAGATCTAATCTCTTAGCAAATCTCAAGTAGACGTACAATATTAACTAGTTAACATTAGGACTCCAGAACTTGTTCACTTTATAACTGCAAGTTTGTACCCTTAGGTCAACATCTCCACATTTCCTCTACCTCGAGGCTATTGGTAACTCCCATTGCTACAGAGTTTGACTTTTTTACATTCTACATATAAGTGGGATTGTGCAATAATTGTCTTTCTGCATCAGGCTTATTTCACTTAGAATGTCCTCCAGATTGACCCATGTTGGTGCAAATTGCATGATTTCCTTCTTTTTAAAAGGCTGAACAGTATTCCATTTCGTGTGTGTATCTCATATCTCCTTTGTGTGTGTGTGTATCTCATATCACTGTTATTTGTATCTCATATCTCTGGTATGTGTGTATCTCATATCTTCTTTGTGTATCTCCCATCTCCTTTGTCTATTCATCCACTGATGGACATTTAGGTTGTTTCCTATCTTGGCTACTGTAATGCTGCAATAAACACTGGCGTGCAGATAGATCTTTGAGATAGCGACTTTATTTCCTTTGAACATATAGCCAGAAGTGAGATTGCTGGATCATATGGTAGTTCTATTTTTAATTTTTTGAGAAACCACCATACTGCTTTCTATTATGGCTAATTTACATTCCCACTAACATGTATAAGGGTTCCCTTTTCTCCACACCCTTGCTAACACTTTTGGCTTTTTGAGAACAGTCATCCTAACAAGTGGAAGGTGTTATCTTACTGTGGTTTTGACTTGTATTTCCCTGATGGCTAGTGATGTTGAGGACCATTTCATATGCCCTGTGACTATTTGTTTGTCTTCTTTGGAAAAATGTCTATTTAGGTCCTTTGCTTATTTTTTTAATTGGGTTTCTTTTTGCTGAGTTGTATGAGTTCCTTAAATATTTTGGATATTAACCGCCTTTGAGATATATAGTTTGCAAATATTTTCTCCCATCCCCAAAGCTGCCTTTTCATTTTGCAATCTAGTATCTTTAAAAAACTTTTCAGATTATAATGTTCAAAAAATACTGAACAAAAACATTATTAATCCTAAAATACAAAAACCTAATCAAAATATAGTTAGGCTGACCTCTGGTGGCCAGATGCCTCATCCTTCAGTAACTGACAAAACGGTGTGAAGTCATCTTTTATTTGTGGCAAAAGAGCCAAATACAATACAATAATAAAGGCCACAAAATAAGAAAAATGCCTTCAAATCTTTGTTCTAATATTTAGTTTACCAGTTGAGTTTACATGAAAAACAAATGATATACACAGTGGTTCTCAAAGTAAAAATAGTTGCACACAATCCAGTACTGTAGCCACCAGCCCTATGTGTCTATTGAGCACCTGAAATGTGGTTAGCGTAAAATATTAGGTTGTCGGAAATGTCATTGACGTATTTTTTCTAGTTTTTCGTTGCAAAAATGCGTCATGACTCTTCTGACAACCCAATAATACCCACATTCAAAGGCTAAGTAGGGAAAAAATTTTAAATTATCTCATTATTTATCTTGATAACACGTTGAAATGATAATATTTTGGGTTTACTTGGAAAAAAAATTAATGCTCTTTCTAGGTTTCTTTCACTGCAGCTTTCCAGGCATTCTACATTGTAGCTATTGTGAAATCATAAATGTTTTCAGTATATTCCATGCATTCTTAGGCTTCTACGCTTTTGCTCTAGCTGATTAACCTAAAATGTCTTTTCAGAAATCAGACATCTAGCTTAAGTTTGAATATGGGTAATCCAAATACTACCATATTTATTACTTTAACATTTGAATACCCACAATGTTTCAGGAATTAGGAATACAAAGCAAGAGAATGAATGAATAAATTATGGCATATTCACACATTAAATACTATAGCAACCTGTCTGTGCCTCAGTTTTATCATCTTAAAAGGAGATAGAAGTTACCTCACTGGGGTTGTTTGCAAGGCTTAAATGAAGTAAAGTGCTTAGAACAGTGGCAGATAAGTGTAATATTATTATTAAAGTATCAATATGAATAAACCTCAAAAACAATAGACTGAAAAAGCACGTTGCATATATGGTTAGTCATATATTAGAACATGAAAAAAATACAGTATACTTATTCAGAGATGTATTCATATATCGTGAATACATAAATATTAACAGTAAATTCAGAAAATCCGTTACGACTGGGGAGGGAAGGTGATTCAATAGGAAAAAGCTGCAAGGAGTGGCTGTGTAATCTCTTTCTTTAGCGGGCTGTGGGCACTCAGATGATCTTTTTGGTCTGACATAATTCCATTAAAAAAAAAAAGTTTAGAGGCTTAGTTCCTGCTCGAGGGCACTCCAAATTTCTTTATCTAAACCAGTATCTCAAACACTCCCCCCCCCCATTCTGTGTTCTTCTTTGTTGAGTGCATTGCCGTTATACACCTTTGTACAAAGCTGGTAAATCTAGAATAAGCTGCATCTAAATTAAATCGTGCCTCTTCGCAGCGGCTCCCGGACTGCCTCCCTCCTTCGCAGACCTTCCACCAGCCGAGACCCCAAGGCTTAAAAAGGCGGCCCGCCTCTATGAGGAGACCTCCGAATGGCCCCCTCGGCCGACCCGGGAACGTGTCCCTTACCAGCAGAAGCCAGGCCGCTGCCCAGCCCTCCAGCACGCCATATCTATCCCTTCCCGATGGATCTCCAAATGAACCCCTCCTCCCGGGATCCCTTGCTCCCCTTCAGTCGGAACAGGAATTGTTCCCCTCAGCCGATTCCCTGTTCTCACCCATGTAGGCTCTTTTTTCTTTCTCGCCTCAAGCCCGGCTGCACGACCAGGCTAGGCCTAGCGCCACCAACTCTGTCCCGACAGTCTCACCGCCACTCCGCTCGCCCTCTCAGCGAATACCACTTCCGGGCGACCCAACGCCCCCTTCCTTAGAAATGCTACTTCCCACCCGGAAAACGGCTGGCTAGAGCCTAAGCGCATGCGCCCAAGCCGCAGTGTTCGAGGTGGGTGGATCCATCTCTTCCCGCCCTCGCCTCCAAATGCTCTCGCGGCAGTCTCGCGATATTGCCTTCTCCCGCGGGAGTTGTTTAAACGCTCTGGCGGTAACCACGCCCTGGACGCTTGGTGTCCCGCAGACTCGGCGCCCAGGAGAGTGGAGTTTCGGTCTGTGATCTGTCCGGTCAGCTGCAGCCGATCGCAAACAGAGCTCGTCTCCGCGGAGTCGCGGCACCATGGGGGCGGAGAAGAGGCTGCTGCCGATTAAGGAGGCCTTTCAGCTGGCCCAGCAGCCACACCAGAACCAGGCGAAGCTAGTGGTGGCGCTGAGCCGCACCTACCTCACCGTAAGCACGCCCGATCCTGGCCCCGGGCCGCCGCTACCCCTCGCCCTCTCCCAGGGGCCTCCCTTGACACTCTGAACTCGGCCACACCGCGATTCCAACCTCTTAAACTTCCCGACTTGGTTCGGAGAAGTCTGGCCACTCGCCCTAGGTCCCGCGGGCACCCCCCCTCTCCCCAGCGGCCTCGGGCGCGGACCGTTCATTCTTTGTCCGCGGTGAACTTGGAAACAAACGTTTACAATCTGGTTCTTCCTATTCACGTAAATACTGTCTGTTTTGTTTGTTTTGAGTGGAGCCGTGAGCAGAATAGGACAATGAATTTCGTGAAAATAAAATATTTTCAGGCCCAAGGAAAATTGTAAGTCAATATAATAAGACTTGGGGATATTAGATAGGATGTGAAAGTTATATCAAAAGGAAGTTGTGTAATAGTAAGGTTAAATATGGTAAAATATTAAAGCCTCTGTTGATTTGGGGTTGTTCATGAAGAAACATACTTTTACTAAACTGGTATCAAGGCATATTGAGACTTCAAGAATATTGGGGGGGAAAAGAAAATAAACAAACCCGGAATCCATTCACTGTCAAAATTCATGATTGTTTTCTCCCTGGGAGAAATAAATTTCTCTGGAAAGAAATCCGTGCAAATTTATTTCCCATTTGATGGTTTGGATAATTGAGAGTTTGCCAAATAATGGTTCTAGTTTGATTTATGGCTAATGCTTCTAGCAGTCTTTGGGTAATGCTGGGGAAAATTGATTTTATCAGTGCAGTTTGTGAAGGGTTTCTTTTGTTTTTCAGGTGGATGATAAAACAGTTTTTCATGAGGAGTTCGTTCATTACCTTAAATATGCTATGGTGGTCTATAAACGTGAACAAGTTGTGGAGAGGGTAATAGAATTTGCAGCGAAGTTTGTTACTTCATTTCACCAATCAGATATGGAAGAGGATGAGGAAGAGGAAGATGGTGGCATTTTAAATTATTTGTTTACTTTTCTATTAAAGGTATGAAAACTAGAAATTTGGGGAAGTATTGTAGAAAATTTTACTGTATTAAAAGGGCCATGGGAGTTTGTGTATTTTACAGAATGAAATATCTGGTAATTGAGAAAATGTCAGTGAATGGGTCTGCTTTTTATAGGAAATATTAGAACAGTCATTAAGATTAAAACGTGGACTTTTAAAATAACTCTAGCATTAAATTTTTAATGACCTCTCTTAACCAGTTCTCCCATACATTTGTTTTAAATGAGTTGTCTATTAGAAGAGTTCCTGCAGAGAGGAATATACTGTTATAATTTTGCGAATACTTCAGACTACATATTTTGAGACTTTATATTTGATATGTATGTAGATTGAGGTAGCATTATAGTTTCTCTGGGAGTGATGAATTACTGTTGTAATTTCTTGGATTTTAAACAGATTTCAAATGGAATGTGATTATTTATTTAGTGATGGTATGTGACTAAATTTTGATTTGTTTCCGTTTCAGTCTCATGAAGCAAACAGCAATGCAGTTAGATTTAGAGTGTGCCAGCTCGTAAACAAGCTCTTGGGAAGTATGCCAGAAAATGCCCAGATTGATGATGATTTGTTTGATAAAATTAATGAAGCAATGCTTATTAGATTGAAAGATAAAATTCCAAATGTGAGGATACAGGCAGTTCTGGCTCTTTCACGACTTCAGGATCCCAAAGATGATGAATGCCCAGTGGCTAATGGTATGTGTAGCTCCCTAAATCCTTTTTCAATTATGTTGATCTTGTTAAATTCTCAGCAGATGAATTTTTTTATTATGAACTATATATATGAAACAGTATATGTGTGTGTGTGTGTGTATATATATATATATATATATATATATATAT